AAGAGTGGTGGGCAGCAAAGCAAAGTTTATTGAGCAATAGTACAAAGCTCCTACAGAGGGAGGGGACCTGAGAGGGTTGCCTTTGGAGTTTCTAAGTTTAGGAGTTTTTATGAGCTCTTTTGCAGAACTATCTTAAGCAATCAGGATGTGCTGGGTTGTGCCAATCTGGGCTTTGGTTACTTATCTATCTACCTAACAGGTTAATGTCTGTGCTCTGATGGTCTTTTTCTTTCCTGTCCTCTGGGGATTTATTTGTGTCTTAACCGCCCTTTGCCAATGATGGTGACAAATGTTTTGTTATTAATTGCCTCCTTTTAGGCCGTTTTGCAGAAGTCATTTTTGCAAACACTACAAAGCAGAATGCTAGTGCCATCCTAAGCTGTAAAACAGGATGTTAGTCCTGTTTTATTTTGGGAATGTTAGTCCTGACTCCTTATTTCCTTGTTGGGGACCAACCCTGACTACCTAGCTGTTCAACTAACTTCTAACACTATTACTGGTAGGTTTATTTTGATTCAGACTGACCAGGGCTTTGCCAATAACTGTATCTTATTTTCAAAGTACTTCTGCTATTTTGCTATCTCCTGCTCATCAGAGAATATGAGGCTTTGCAGATATTTATTTCCAAGTTCATATAGAAAGTTGAGCAAACATTTTGAAACCAGAAATATCTACATGTAAAAATTGTCTAACACAATGTTTGACATATAGTAATAGTTTCCAATGTTTTCTTTTCTCCCTGTTTTTAATATATCTATACCTCTTTTTTCCTTCAGCTTATTAAGAACCATCTCTTATCTTCTTCATTCCCTGATCTGGCTAAACAGGTACTGATTACATACCTTTGTCTTTACTGCTTCACAGTTGGTTCTACTTTCTGGATTTTGCTATCATTAATCTCTATTGGCCTTTTATTTCTCATCTGATGCAATTTTGTCAGAATTGAAATTGAAAGGACTTACATTGATTAAAATAGCTCTGGAGGTAACTCTATAGGGCACTGGAGTTGGGATGTGATAAAGTTCAAGGCTTCAGCCTTTCTTGCCATTTATATTACTTATTACCATCACTAATTTGTATATGTCTTCCATCAGAATGCAACTTCTTGTGATGTATTCAAATTTTAAACTTATTAATTAACATGGGATAGGAAGCATGGTATAATTGAAAATGGTTGAATTCCAATGACATTGGTTCAAACTGTAAGCAGAATGAGTTATGGGTCCCCAGAAAAAGAGACAAGATGCAGCTTTCATGACACCAGAGAAGTCATTTTAGGCTGCCACTATTTTTGTGATGTACTTGCCCTAGCACATTTCTTGCAGAACTTCCCTAAGAGATATCAGAATTACAAAGAAATGCAAAAACCTCAGTAGATAAGGATTTTAAGGGAACAAAGGGATACAAAAACCAACAGTCCTATGAGGCCAGGGAATAGCCTGACCATATCAGAGACAAATCAACCAGTGGTAAAACTCATATTGCTGTTGAAAAGAGAGCAAGACTGTACCTTCCTTACCCAAGAGTGCTGTCAGTTTATACCTCCTCTCAGAGCATGCCCATAGCCCCTTCACCTACTCTCTGTTAGCTCTACTTCATTATAACATCAAAGTCTCTGCCCTAAAAGGAGCACAAGCTTCATTAATGTCAGACAAGATGGATGCATGGGTACTTTTCCTAAGTTCTCTGCACAACTTTGTGCCCGCGTCTACATGCAATGATAAAGCTCACCTTTCTGAATATTCATCCTAAACCCTAAATAAAAGGAACCCACTCACCTCTGCTGAGGAGTCAGGGCTTTGGAACTTATTCTCCATGAATTTATTCACTGCAAATTAAGTTCCTTTATTTGTCCCTTGTGTGACAACTCCCCCTGGGGTAGTCTCCATCTGTAACTCACTGAGAAGCAAACTCAGGGTAAGGTTATGAAATCTCTTGTCTGTTCATAACAATGCATGTTTTTTCAAGAAGTTAGTTAATCTCTCTATGTTTCAGTTTTCTTTCTTTCTTTTTTTATTTATTTATGATAGTCACACACAGAGGGAGAGAGAGAGAGAGTCACACAGAGGGAGAAGCAGGCTCCATGCACCGGGAGCCGGACGTGGGATTCGATCCCGGGTCTCCAGGATCGCGCCCTGGGCCAAAGGCAGGCGCTAAACCGCTGCACCACCCAGGGATCCCTATGTTTCAGTTTTCAAATTTGTAATACAGAATAATAATACCATATGAGGATTAAATGTATAAACAAGTATAAAAACATCCAGCATAATTTTAAACAAGTATAAAACTTCCAGCATAATTTGATAAACCCTCCCCTTTTCCCAATTTTTTTCTTTTAATCCACTCCACTGCTCTTCCTTTCTTCTCTAGACCTTAGAATAGGGGGATAAAATGCAATATTCTATCTATCTTTCTATGAAGTGGTTTATTTATGTATTTATTAATTACCTAATGACATATACAAAGGCTAATAAGCTATCTTGATAAGTATATTTTTTAAATGTTAAGTATTTTATTTATAGTCCTTAGGTTAAATAATTTTGATATTTTAAAAAGAATAGACTTTTAAGGGTGCCTGGGTGACCCAGTTGGTTGGGTGTCTACTTTCAGTTCAAGTCATGATCCCCAGGTCCTGGGATCAAGCCCCGTGTATGGCTCCCTTCTCACTGGGGAGCCTGATTCTCATTCTCCCCTCTACTCATGCTCTCTCTCACTTTCTTTCTCTCTCTCTCTCTCTCTGTCTCTCTGTCTCTCTCTCAAGTAAATAAATAAAATCTTAAAAATATATATATACTTTTAAACTAATGTCAATCCCAAGATCTTCTAATAAGATGTATTTTTAAAACACAAAAAAGACTTTATTACCTTAATAAATCCACTGATATTGTCCTTAGAAAATTATTTTTTTCATTTCTCTAACAAATATTTGAGGATTTACTGTATGCCAGAGATAAACAAAGTAAAGTTAATGCTGTAATTGGATTTGAGGGAGGGAATAGAAGATGACCGAGGTAGCAAGGTTATTCAAAGGGAAGGCCTTTCTGAGGATGTGACTTCTGAGAAAGCTGTTAGAGCCCAGGAAAGGGCACGTATAGTGGTGAGATGGGAAGGCCACTAAGATGTTTGAGGATATTTACCAGAAAAAAATATTTAGGGTCATCAATGCTTTGTGAGCAAATGGAATTAGTCTCTGTAAATATCATAATTTATAATAAATATATTTGATCTTGTAGCCTATTTTTGGCAGTGATTTCCTTTGGAATTTTCTGTGTGATGAGAGAGCTAAAGTTGTATTTTCTCGTGTTAATGTGGTAACTTCTGGACCTCACTTAAGATTGGGGCTGGTTGGGATCCCTGGGTGGCACAGCGGTTTGGCGCCTGCCTTTGGCCCAGGGCGTGATCCTGGAGACCCGGGATCGAGTCCCACGTCGAGCTCCCAGTGCATGCTGCCTGCTTCTCCCTCTGCCTATGTTTCTGCCTCTCTCTCTCTCTCTCTCTCTCTCTCTCTCTCTGTGACTATCATAAATAAAAAATTAAAAAATTTAAAAAAAAAAAAAGATTGGGGCTGGTTGTCTGAAGAATGAACCAGGTGATAAGAGGGTTGAACTCTCAGTCCCATCTCCCTGACCTCCAGGGAGGAGAGAGGGGGATGAACTAATTGAAAATCTTGTGTTTCTGATTCCTAGTTGGCAAGAGTGCTCTGATCAAGCTCAAGCTTCTCAGTTAAACCCTCAGTTCTTTAGGCAAAGGAGTAAAAATCAATATGTTCTACATATCTTGGAACCCCATTGCCCCTGATTAACTTAATTCCATAAAGAAAGAAAACTCTCAAAGGTACATAGTTAGCTCAATCATCTATGAAAACGAACTATAATTGTAGAAGATCTTCATTACCTTATGGTGTCAGAAAAAAAAGAAAAAAAGAAAAAAAAAAAAAAAAGATCCAGAGAATACCGGTCTCCTTCATCACCAATATACTAAGTTGCCCACTTTCCCACCCCCCATGGCTGACCTGTAGTTCAGTTGGCTAAATTACTTTGTATTTATAAGAGTGTATGTTGTCCTATAAAGCAAGTCTAAGAATCTGCTCCTATGCACAGGGATGGAGAGCCCTGATATGGATTAATCATTTTAAAGAACATTCTGTCTGCTTCCACATTATGAAAATGGGATTTTTCACTAGACTAGAAGAGAGGGTTAGCAATCAAGCACATGTGACTTATTTTTTGTCCTTTCTTTGTACTTCTTCCTGTGGAGAGCTTGTATGTACGGTAAGTTTTAGAACCTCAAGTCCTGGCCTGAAAAATGTTTGGAGGAAAAAACTATAGAAATTGGAGAAACTGGGATGCCTGGGTGGCTTGAATGGTTGAGCACCTGCTTTCAGCTCACAGCGTGATCTTGGAGTCCTGGGATCCAGTCCTACATTGGGCTCCCTGCATGGAGCCTGCTCCTCTGCCTCTCTGTCTCTCGTGAATAAAGAAATAAAACCTCAAAAAAAAAAAAAAAAAAACCTAAAAAGAAGAAATTGGAAAAAATACTTAGCATCTGCTCTCTTAAAATCTACTTTCTGCAGTTTCCTATTTTTTTTTCCTTTAAATTCTAGGCTCACTCTGGATCAAGCAAAGAGAGTTATCCTATGGTTTAGCCTGTATAAAGTTTTTCACTAGATTGGGGGTCTGAATAGAAAAGGGGAATTTATTTGCAGGCCACTGTTCTTTCTGTGGGTGTTTTCTCTGAGGATTTTATGGAGAAATGTGATTAGTCAAGATAGTTCCTATATTCCTGATTCTCCTTATAAATTAACATTATCTGACTCTATTATCAATAGCTTGTTCAGAAGAAATATTTCATTCTTTTATTCCTTGATACAAGTCTTTCAAAATTGCAATTTCTCTATGTCTCAGACAAAAGTGCTGAAAGGAGGGAAATGAGCATATAATAGACTTATGTTGAAAGTGTCATTTCAGATCTGGAAATAAATACTTTTCAACTGATTCATCATGTATGCTCTCAATTCCTCTAAAATTGAGATCACCACCTTCTTCCTGATTGGAATCCCAGGACTGGAGCATGTTCATGTTTGGATCTCTGTCCCTATCTGCTTCATGTACCTGATGGCTATCCTTGGCAACTGCACCATCCTCTTTGTGATCAGGACAGAGCCATCACTTCATGCCCCCATGTACTATTTCCTCTCCATGTTGGCTGTCTCTGACCTGGGCCTCTCTCTCTCATCCTTCCCCACTATGCTGAGGATCTTTGTTTTCAATGCTACGGGAATTTCCCCAAATGCCTGCTTTGCTCAAGAATTCTTTATCCATGGATTCACAGATATGGAGTCCTCAGTGCTCCTGGTCATGTCTTTTGACCGTTTTTTGGCCATACGCAATCCTCTGAGATACAGCTCTATCCTCACCAATGCCAGAGTTGCCAAAATGGGACTGGTGTTTCTCATTAAAAGTATGCTCTTAGTGCTCCCATTTCCTTTCACCCTCAAAAAATTGACATATTGTAGGAAAAGCCTACTTTCTCACTCTTATTGTCTGCACCAGGATGTTATGAAGCTAGCCTGCTCTGACAACACCATCAACTTTTTCTATGGTTTCTTCGTTGCCCTCTGTATGATGTCAGACAGTGTGTTCATTGCTGTGTCCTATATATTTATCTTGAAGACTGTGATGGGAATTGGATCTCATAAAGAGCGGCTCAAGGCCCTCAACACCTGTGTCTCCCACATCTGTGCCGTGCTCATCTTCTATGTGCCTATCATTGCTTTGGCTTCCATGCACCGTTTTGGCAAGCACAAGTCCCCAGTGGCCATGATCCTCATTGCTGACATTTTCTTGTTAGTACCACCTCTAATGAACCCCATTGTATACTGTGTGAAGACACGGCAAATTCGTGAGAAGGTTTGGGGGAAATTAGGTCTAAAATAAAAATATGGGAAAAAGTAAAGCAAGGTCAGCCAAGATTGGAATATAGAATAATATATTTCTAAGCAAAATGTTATAGATATTTATTCTTATCTTCCTTAATTATCCTTATAATCACTACAACATATGGGCTGAGCATGGAAGTCTGTGAGTCTAAGACTGACATGAGCATTGACAGGTGAGTATGGAATAGTTTTGGAACACTACTGAAATCATGAATCAATATACTGATTTGGAATTTTAGTTATACCGTTTACAGAATAAGGATAAATGCACATGGAAGAAGAGCTTACACCTCCTTATAGAAAATGAATACTAAAGGAACTGGAAATTAAAGGATGTTACCCCAATCCAATTACAGATTTTCTTTCAGGCAGCAAATATATCAGACATCTATTTGTTGTTCAACACACACACAGAAAAACCTTTGACAACTCAGAATATGATAATAAATTACAAGCACACAGAACATTTAGAATGATTTAAAAAAAGAAACTATTGCCATAATCAGTAAGGAGTAACTATAAATTTTAAGTCAAAGAAAATGCCCTGAAAAATGGTTCATATCCTGTTTAGCCACAAGAAAAAGCAAACAGGTTGTCATGAAAAAAAAAAACAAAAAAAACAAAGAAGAATATGTATTCTCCATTCTTTAGTATTTGCCCTCAACTCAGAAATTTAGATCTTTACAAGACAAAAACTGCTCAAGTTATAAGGTATCAATAAATGTTTTTCTGGAACATAAAGGTGAAGAGGCTACAATCTGTTTTCCTCAATTATAAGTTTAATGCATTTCCAGCTTCTAGTAACATTTCATTGAGAATATACCAGAATAATCCTAAAAACAGATTTACAAATGTCAATTGGAGATATAAGATGAAAATAAATAGAAACTGTAATGAAATTTCATTGATAGCAACATTTATTAAACAGCTATAAAATTCTTGTAGTTTGCTCAACAAATCAATGGAAAGAGCAAAGAAAGAGAATAAACAATCCAATATACTCTGACATGAAAATAATATATAATTTGGGAGTATCAGAACCTTATTGAAAATAGATTATTTAAATAACAGTGGTAGAAAAAAATTACAACCTATTTAAAAAAAAACATATTTGCATCTGATCTTTTATTACACACAAAAATAAACTAAAATAAATTGAGAATTAAGTACAAAGATAATTTTTTCAAGTTTTTATTTAAATTCCAGTTAGTTAATATACAATATAATCTGACATTCACCAAGTACCAGACATTGGGCTATAAATACTCACTTGTATAAACTCAACTTTTGCAAGAAGGTGATTTTATTACTTTGTCTTGTTTCATGGATTAAGAAGCTAAAACTCTGAGAAGCTAACAAACTTTTCCAAAAACACAGAACCATAAAATGTTAGGAATTTGAATCTAAACCCACTTCCAGAATTTACAACCTCATGCACTACACAAGACCAATTATTTTGCTTCTTTCTAAAGTTAATTAATAATCTACATCCTAGGAATCTAAGAATATAATCAGAAGTTTGTTCAAATATTTATTTATAATATATATTGAGAACTATTTTCTATGATAAAAATATTGTAAACTACTGGAATATTAAGCAATAAATAATAACATAAACCATAATATACAAATAATATTAAATATTAATCTATGCAACATAGCATTAAGAACTAAGTGGCATTTGCTAAGCATTGTATTAGATGTTAAGGATTAAATGAAACTTAAATTTAGACACTGTCAAGAAGCTTACAGTGTGATGGTGGGAAGATCAACTAAATAAATAATTAAATTCATGGAGTAAATTATGTTAAGTTTAAGTACACATATAAGAAAGCAAATAAAAGACTGGTAACTTGCCTATTTCAGTGGAGAATCAAAGGAGAGAGCTTCCTAGGGGAAGGGAGGTCTAATATAAAAATTTGATATATTATTAACAGAAAATGATAATATCAAGCAAATAAGTAAGATACACATTTGTGCATACATTACTGTCCTAGTTTATAAATGTATGTGTGTGCAGGGGTGCATGGGTGTCTCAGTCGGTTGGGCATCTGGCTCTTGATTTCAGTTCAGGTTATGATCTCAGGGTTCTGAGATCAAGCCCTGAGTCAGACTCCATGCTCAGTGGGGAGTCTGCTTGACTCCCTCTCCATCTCCCTCTACCCCTGCCCCCTACACTCTCCCTCTCAAACAAATAAACCTTTAAAAAATGTATATATGTGCACATATGTTGGCTTATTAAAAAAAGATCAAGTATATATATCTTAAAATGTCTCATTAGTGGGTCTGCGAATGATTTTTTAATCACAAAATTTTAACTATATATAGTATATATAGGTGTGTAGAATTATATATATATATAATTATATATGAATATATACACACATGACATTTATAATCAGAACAACCTCCAAATATATTAAACAGATTCCTTGAAATAACAACAAAACTCAAATTCATGTCCTATTAACAATTGCTAAGAGGATGAAGAATACTAATAAAAGTGTTTTTGGTACTAAGCAGGTGAGTTGCCTTTTAAGCCAGATATGAAAACACATTTGGAATGAAAAGTAAAATATTAACACACATGCAGCAGACTGCCTTAAATATTGACCATGATAACAGTGGACAAATGCTTGCACATTTCTATAATTGTTTAACTAAAACTCTTGGAATTCAGAATCTTTTATTTATTTCATTTATTTATTTATTTATTTATTTATTTATTATTTATTTATTTATTTATTAATTTATTTATTTATTTATTAAGATTATTTATTTATTTATTTATTAATTTATTTATTTATTTATTGAGACAGAGAGAGAGAAAGAGAGGCAGAGACACAGGCAGAGGGAGAAGCAGGCTCCATGCAGGGAACCGATGTGGGACTCAATCCCGGATCTCCAGGATCACACCCCAGGCTGCAGGCAGTGCTAACCCTCTGTGCCACTGGGGCTGACCCAGAATTTTTTTTTTTTTAAGATTTTATTTATTTATTCATGATAGTCACACAGAGAGAGAGAGAGGCAGAGACACAGGCGGAGGGAGAAGCAGGCTCCATGCACCAGGAGCCCGACGTGGGATTCTATCCCGGGTCTCTAGGATCGCGCCCTGGGCCAAAGGCAGGCACCAAACCGCTGCGCCAGGCAGGGATCCCCACAGAATTTTTTATACTCTAAAAAGGCCCTACAGTCCTTGAGGCATTACTGCGTATTCAAGCGTAGCTATATTTCTGAAGTAAAATGTGTATTAAATAATGATCATAAATACATTCATATCAGTCTATGTTAGCTTTTGCTGCCAGTAATTTTTGGCTCCAAACTTAGGGAAAAAAATTTTTCTTAAGTTTTTTTCCAGATGTTTTTAAATTCATGAATTGTAAATGGAGCTGGGGCTCTACAAAGAAAAACTTTAAGAAAGGTCTTCCAAAGAAACAATTAAAGAGCCATTGGTATTGGTAAGAACCGATGAGGAAAATTCTGGATGGTTAGAATAGGGTGTTGTCTAGCGTGTCTACTCTGTCACATGTTGATTGCAGGGTCAGACACTGCTGTCTCTTGGATTGGGCAAAGCAGAATCACAAAATTGTCAGTGCTTGAGCTGAACAGAAGGCTGAAGCAAACACAACAGAGTTTGGAAGTGGTATTCCTCTTCTGCCAGGAGCAGGAAATTGATATAGGGAGAGGAGACAGGTGGCTTAGATCAAAATATCTGTTTGGTCTTCTGTGCTCAGACAGGAATCCTGAGTGGAACAAAGCTTCATAACTCTATGTGAGAGAAAGCAGGTGAATTCCCCCAAAGTCTCATCAACTCTATAATGAGGTTACTTCTTGATAAAACACATTTTGTTAAGAAAGGTAATCCAAAGATTCTCTACTAAGAGGCATCAAAGTTCCTGCGCAATTCTACAATGAGAAGTACACCAAAAGGTCGAGAAGCCCAATAGCAAGGTAAAAAAATTTACCCAAGAAATAAGGGCAAATAGAAAGAAAGGTGCCATCCTGAGGCAGAGCAGACAGAAGATATGCTACGGAATCAGAATCAGGATTGTATTAGAATATTTAGGCAATTAGAAAAATAATTAAAAGCAACTATGACTTTAGATATTGTATTCACTGGAGGTATAATAACAAAGAGCAATTAGTTCTGTGACAGTTTCACTTTGGCTAAGGAAAAAAAGGATTCAAAAAAAGATAGGGGTTCAGGGAGTACATCTGCAAAGAGATGGGGCTCCCTAGAGGTGACTTTAGGAACTGAAACCAATGTGCAAGAGTTTCCTAGAGTTTTAAATTACAAATTGCAATGTTCGAATCTTTGCATACACATGTAACTCTTTCATTTACAGCTCAAGAAAAAATCTGTGCTGCCCCCTGGGAAGTATGATCACAGAAATAAATGATTTTAGGTCATCCGAACACAGATATATAAGTATAGCCATTTACTTTTGGTCTAAGAATTACTATTTTTATGCAGATAATTATTCAACTAGAATAAAGTGATCTTATTGTGCTTTTAATGTGCACAGGAGTTCCATGTAATTGTTTTAAATGTTTGAGGGGCACATACATAATTAATTTGGTTCTGAATTAGAGTGGGCTTTTTTTAACTTTGATAAGTTTAGAGAAAAAGTATTCTCCTCTTTCTGCTCCAATGATTCAACTGGAACTGCCTTAGTGGGACACCTGGGTGGCTTAGTGGTTGAGCGACTGCCTTGGGCTCACGGCATGATCCCAGGGTCCCCGGATTGAGTCCTGTGAGCCAGCTTCTCCTCCTGCCTATGTCTCTGCTACTCTGTGTGTCTCTCATGAATAAATAAATTTAAAAATCTTAAAAAAAAAAAAGAAAGAAAATGCCTTAATAACCAAATGCCTGAGGATGGCATAGACCCAAATCTCTTTCCTGCTTAAGGATAATCTATCTCCCCTTCAATCCCACCGTCCTCTGAGACCCCTCACATTGGGGCCCCGTGAGCCTTTAAACTGGAACACCTGGAGCAT